GATGCAGATGAAAACAACACTGAGATTCCACCTCACCCCACAAAGAATGGCTGCTATCAAGAAATCAACCAATAACAAATGCTGGTGGGGGTGTGGAGAGAAAGCAACCCTTCTCCATTGTTGGTGGGAGTGCAGACTGGTGCAACCCTTTATGTATTTCTAAAGAGCATGTTTACTTTGTTTGGAAAGATTTCTCACTTCTATTCATGTTTTTCTTCTTCAATGTCAGATTATCATCATGGTCACCAATGGTCACTATCCATGCATATCCCAGACTTTCAAAAAGGGGTGCTCTTGTGTGTACATGTGCGTGTGTGAGTGTGGCATAGATGCACATAATTCAGTGTGTAAAAGAACCTGAAGCACAAAGTAAAAATCAAAGATATACAAAGTTATGATTTTCACATCTGCAACAAAAAATAATCACAAAAATCATAAAAGAACAAACCATGATTAGGAAAAACAGATACAATAGTTCATAAATTGAGTTAGAAAGTATTTGTCTTAAAATTCCTTAAAAATAAAGGGTATGTACATAGAAATCAGAAAAGGAAAAACATGATATAGTATTCATATAATTGAGTAACCTGAAAAATATAAATATAAATTTATGTGAAACATTCTTACAAACTCTGGAAATTGAAAAACTTCAAAGTGTAGGGTTTCCAAATAATGATGAGCAGATGGAATAAAAGAAATATTTCACTCTACTGATGGAGTATAAGCATTATAGAGTCTGGAAAAACTATGAATGTTTAATGAGTTTACTTATTACACAAATCAAGGGATAATTTATATATAAATCATTTAGTATAAATAAGTCCAAATGATATAACTGAGTGAAAAATAAATTTGTAGTATTAGATATTCAGTCTCTTAAAAATTCATTTAAAACACATGTGAAATTATACGGTAGATTGCTAAAGACTTCATGAACATATAGTTAAGAATAAAAACTTCCTACAAATGACAAATTTCAGGTGTAGGTCTGGTAAAGGTGTTAATTTGTTGCATTCAGGACCAATTTTAAAGAAAAAGGGTATATAAAGTTTAAAGAAAAAAATGATATATAAACTT